CAGACCATGGGCCCCTCCAGCAGGAGCCTCGTCTGTCCAGTGGGGCCTCGGGGCCTCTCCCAGCACACAGGACAGCTCAGGAAATGTGTGTTGGTGACTGGATCTATGGATGTCTAGACTGGCTTGGGAGTCAGAGTGTGAATCCTGGCTCTCCCACTTGCTTCACTGTGCCCTTGAGCAGGGGACCCAAACCCTCTTGAGCCTCTGTTTTGCCATCTGTAGAGTGTACTGCAATATGGTTGGCTAAGAGGAGAAAGTGGGAGAACAGACAGAATCTCAGCCTCATACAAGCTATGGCCAGCCCTCCGGAAATGGCGGACAGCGCTGTACTAGATGGACTCAGCATGCGCCAGGCCAAGTAGGAAACACAAGAGAGATGGTGTTAGGCCCCCATCACATTGTTCAGCACTTTACAGTTTACAAAGCCCTGTCACATCCTGCTCACTGGATCCTCCCAGTCGTCCCATGAGGCAGTCTGGGCTGGCTGCAGTATCCCCTTGTGACAAATGAGGATGCTGACCTGCCTTCCAGTGGCCAAGCCAGGCCCAGAACCCAGGTCTTCCAGCTCTCAGTCTCCTGCTCTCCTGGACGCTCCTGCCCTCTGGAAGCTCCTAGATGTGAAAGATGCTGGGAAGGGTGGTGGGCAGGGAATGTGGAGATTTGTCAGCCCAGATGTCAGGAGGCTGAGTGTGCTTTCTGGTGGCTTTAGCCCAAAGGGTGTCACTGTCACCAATAGGCCCAGAGTAAGGGGGCGGGGGGACAGGGCATGGGTAGTGGTGGACTGAGTAGAGGTGCAGAGGAGGAGAAAGCCAGTTGTAGGGGCCACAGGTCCTTGGGTCCATTCACTCAGCCTGATGGACCAGAGGCTGCTAGGCCCTCCCACCCAGGTCCCTTCACAGATGGTGCTGGAGTATCAGGGACTCTAAGGAGCGCCAGGTCTGCATCTAAGCATCAGTGTGGAACGCTTTCTAAAAGGCAGACTCTGGGGAAGGCAGGGCTGGCTGGCTGGCCAGCTGATACTCAGCGAGATGAAGTGACCAGCACAGGTGGCCTGGGCCCCACAAAAGGGAGAGCTGGTGAGCAGGGAGTGGACAGGCAGGCCCAGCCCCAAATTTGCAGGGCCCAGGACTAAAATACAAATAGAAGCCCAATATAAATCTATCTTTGTCAGATATCTGAAGATTATAAAAGAGACCAAGAAACTCTTAAATAAAAGTTTGATTTTCCCATCTTGACAAATACATATTCATAATGTAAATTGAAATATATGTGTCAGGTTATGGTTTTATTTGACTGAAAGTGACAAGGTATCAAGGAAGACTGAATTTAATTATTATTACACATCTGGGTGTTTTGTTGGTGGGCTGGTGATGTTTGGGTGAATAATAAGACTTAGAATTCATGCATTATTATTTATTTCATAAAATATATTTTATTGTCTTCATTTTAGCAGGATCACTATCATTATATAGTTGTAATCAAGATTTTCACATCATCTGAAAATTGTGTATTGACGGTAGTAATCTAAAGGACCAAAAATAAAATGCAATTGTATTTAAAGTATATAGAATTCGAATATATTTCCATCAAAAATGTAAATTAAATGTAAAGAAAGGAAAATTTATATTTTCAAAAATTGTTTTTATTCCTTGAAATTATCTATGGAAATTAAAACTATACACATCATAATTAATATCAGATGTTAAAGTAAAATTATTTCAATAGAGATGAAATATTAATTCAAATTTTTGAAGATTGTATAAAAATGAAACTATTCACAGTTCTAGCATTTAATGTCCATCTAGTTGCCAATGTCAAGAATTAGTATCTTCGTGTTACATTAATTTGAGTAATGTGAATTGTTAAATACTGTAAGTTGTTCCTGAGCTGCCATGTGCCTTTATTGTGAATACCACCCTGACTCATGAGAAGGTAGTTTCAGAACCACAAATTGGAACAGGGAGAAAAGCCAAAAAAATAAAAGGATGATCAGCATTACTGGGAAACGGATACTTGGTTATGCAAGAAGCTATTGCACATTGCACTCTGAAAGGATTTGATAAGTTTAATTTATCAATTAAATTGCCTGCTCCCCCAAACATTCTTGCCACTTAGTCCCCTTCCACTGTCCCTCCCTCTCCCCCATCAGCAACGACGCAACCCACAGACCTTCCTCTGGACAGAATCACCTTTTGTTCTTCAAGCCCAAGAAATGGAGAAGAGTTTCTCTGGGGCCTGAGTGGTGTTAGGGGGGCCGGTCAGGCTTGTGGGTTCTCTGGATGTCGTGTGACAGGGGCTCCTGCATGTTCTTTTATATGCTTATCTGTGAGTGTGTTTGTGATGTGTGGGGCTCAGGGCACCGGCCCTCCTTCCCCGCGCCTAAGGGTGATTCAGGGGCTGGGTCTTCTTGCCAATGACATCTCTGTCATACAGCTGACAATAGATGAACCATGGAGCGTATGCTCCGGCCGGAGTTTAAATCTAGGTATCTGCACTCACTCATTCATTTCATTCATATGTGCATTTGTTCGTTTATTTGAAACCTACATTCACTTCCTCCAGGCCTTCATTTCATTGTGGAATGCCAGGCCATAGCAGTCTTGTAGTGCAGCCCCATGATCCTACAGATGAGGGAACTGAGGCTCAGAGAAGGGCACTGATGTCCCTAGGACCACACAGCAGAGAAGCCCACTGGCCGGGCTGCACAGTGCAGAGGATGGGTGCCAGGTCTGAGTTGCAGGTGAACTCTGAAGAGGTGTTGCTGTGTCCCAACCAGCCTCCCTCCCTTCATCAGACGCGGCCACCCCAGACTCCGCCACAGGGCCCTGGGGAGATCCTGCAGAGGTTTCTGCTTGAAGAGCCACTTCCTGTTTGGGGCCGAGCACTTCCTTCAAGTGACTCACAGGCTCCCAGTGGCCCCGTGCTGGGAACCAAGGTTGGGGGTGGAGACAGGCCTGGGCCGTATCACCTTCTGCCTATGACCCCAGCTGGGTGACCCTGAGACCAAGCAGGGCCACAGACTGGAGGTAGGAGATGGAGATGGGAGGAGGATGCTAGACTGTCCTCCTCACCCAGCCTGGTGGGCAGGGCTCTGAGAGAGCAGGGGCCTCAGGCCACGGTGGGCATGGGACAGCCTCCACAGCCAGCCATTCCCACTTGCGGTTTGCAGGGTGGCTGCTGCTGAGATGGGGGCTCACAGCAGAGCTGGGACCCCTCAGGGAGAGTTTGTGACACTTTCTCTTCCTTGAAGAAGGACAGTGAGGTGTGATGGAAAGAGCACTAGGCCGGGAGTCATGAACTTGGATTTCTGACACCAACTTTCTCATGAACTTGTCATCTCCCTGCCCCTCTCTTGGCCTCCATATCCATGTCTGGGGGAGGACTTGCTGGCTGTGACATTTTGTGGCAGCTTGGGATTGCGGGATTTACATTACGAGGTTTGAGTTTAAATCCTGGCTCTGCCATCTTGCTGGATGCGTCCACCTCTCAGAGCCTCCATTTTAAAATTTGAAATAATAATAATCACTTCAAGCATTTTACATAATTTAATCTTCACATCAACCCTGTGGGGCAGGTTTTTTTTTAATTATTATTTTTATTATTTTATATATAAGGAGCTTGAGGCACAGAGAGGTTAAGCAACTTGCCCAAGGTCACACAGTAATAGCCAAGATTCTAACTTGGGCCGTTTGACCCCAGCGCCCATGCCGTTAACAACTATGTTCTTGCTACTCAAATTGCAGTTGCTAGACTTGCAGCATCAGCATCACCTGGGAGCTTGTCAGAAATGAAGAATCTCAGGCCCCAGCCTAGACCTACCAAGTCAGACTGCATTTTAATAAAATCTCTAGGTGATTTGTTTGCACGCTGAAGTTGAGGAGCCCTGCTTTATTTATATTCCCTCTGTCTCTTAGGCCTTAGGATCATTGTGGGAGATGAAGGAAATAAGGTGTTTTGTAAACTGTAAAGTGCAGTGCATTCAGGCCATTGTGAGAAACCTGGGGACTGGAGGTGGAGGGAGGCAGGGCTAGGGGTGCCTGAGGGTCCTTCTCTCAGTAGCTGGATGTCATTTCCAAGCAGTCTCTGAGCCCAGCTTGTTCCCCTCCAGTCTGAGGCTGAGTCTGGCTGTGTGTTTCTTGCTGGTGCGTGGCTCCAGGGCCCAATCGGGTTGGAGAGAGTTCTCGTGTTGGCATGGGCTTGGGCTGGGCACCAGGGCTGGGCAACTGCCCTGGGTCTGCAGGGCACCAGGAGGCTTGGGTCCCAGCCCTGGCTCTGCCTCTGACTCCCTGGCCCCTGGCCCTGCCAGCCTCAGTGTCCCCTAGTGGGCAATGTGGCAGCGTCCTCTGAAGCCTGCAGTGCTGACCCAGGGTGCCCCCCACCCCTTCCCCTCTCCCCGTGGCCTGTAGGTACTGTCTCTCCTCCCAGTTCCTGGGCAGGAGGGCCGCCCTGCCGGCTGTAGGAGCTGGCAATGGGGGAGGTGGTGCGTGAGTCAGAAGTCAGCCACATAATTGTGGTGCCCCAGATCCCGCCTCCAGCCCACCGGCCCTCCCTCAGCGGCTGCTTTGGAAGAACAGCTGGTTTGGCGGCTACCTCCAGAGAAGCAGGTCCCTGGACAGCACGAAAGGGCCTCTGCCCCCCAGGAGCCAGGCGCAGCCCCAGGTTTCACCCCAGGGGGGCTGGGCCTTGGATCGGGTTTCCATGGGTCCTGGACTGGGCAAGAGTGGTTCAGGGAGCAGGTTGCCCTGGGTTTGGGGTTGGGGCTGGTTTGTAGACAGCGTGTGTGGAGGTGGGATTGTGTGTGTGGGGTCTTGTGGCCCATGGCTGGATCTCCTGCGTCTCGTTGGCTCACCCACCAGCTTGGCAGCTTCCCCAGGGCAGGGACTAGATGTGAGCTGGCACAGGGTGGGCACTGGCTGGGGACTCACAAGGGTCGGGTGTGGGGGAGAAGGCAGGGTGGACTGATGAGTGACCTGACTGGGTTTGTCCCCTTGTCCCCTCAGCTCACCCAGTGAAGTGACATCACCACCTCTGTGGACAGGAGACCCCGGGAGCCCAGCTCACGGCCACTGGTACCTTCTTCCAGGTAAAGGAAAAAGAAAGGAAGGAGTGAGGAGAAAGGAGATAGAGAAAAGCTACAGAGAGCAGGTCACTGGGTTCGAAAACAGTGTCCGCCTCTCCCATGGGGGCAGCACTCTACAGTTTACCAAAAAAAGGCAGGAGGAACAGGGATTATTATCCCGTTTTACGGGCAAGAACAAACTGAGGCTCCGAGTAGAGTGGTCTCTGGCTTACTCCAGTGTACCCAGTACCTGTCTGAGCACCTTACATGTGTTCGCTCATGTCGTCCTCATGACGTGAGGTCAGTGCTTTCACATCTCCACTTTATAGACAAGCAGAGTGGGTATAGAGGCGGTGAGGAGCCTGCTCATTTATTAAGTGGTTGAACTGGGTCTCACACCCAGGCAGGCTGGCTCTCATTGCCCATTCTCAATCCCTGTGATTTACTGCCTCTTAGAACCAAGTATTAAACTGTTTCCTTGACCTCCGACTGGGGGTTTAAGAGGCTCCCATTTCCAGGGAGGATTTGTATTTTAAGAGAGAATCCTGGAAGCAGTGATGCTTCAGCCAAAGGAATGAACAGCAAATGATGGAACTGGAGGCCTTGAATCATGGAATTGGCATGAACCTTCAAGGTGTGCTGGGCCAGCCAAGTCCTGGGACTTTCTTCCTCAGCATTCCAGCAAGGCTGGTTTTCTTTGGTTACTGAAGGGAAACCTGGAAATTTGAAAGAAGGGAAGAAATGTTCTGGGCCCAGGTTCTCAGACTTGCCTGGAAATAGAGTGGCTGCTGCTCTTCACAGAACACCATGATGAAGGGAGATATAAATGACGGAGGAAATCAGCATTCTGTGCTAGATCTGAGGGCGTCTTCTACTAGACCTGGGGCAGAAATGTGCAAACAGATATCAGAGGCTTAAGAAAAAATTGTGGGGGAAAATACTTAATTGAGACTTTTTTTAGTAACTTAATTTTTTCTGTAAATAGGGAAAAAGCTCATTATTATTCAGAGGCGGACTTGGGACCAGGCTCTGAAGTGGTTGTGCAGTTGTGGTTTAAGAGGCTCTGATCAGTTCCTTCTTTCCTTCCTTTGCACATTTAACCAGCTTTTCTGACTGACAGATAAACGGGCACCTCCTTGGTGCTGGCCCAGTGCAGGGACACAAGTCCCCTGCACAGTGACTCCTCTAGCAGGGATGGGGCCTGGGGTATCTTGTGTCCCCATCACCCAGTGCAGGGCCGCAGACACTGTGGATCTTCAGAAAAGCTTGGCAGAATGGATCAGAAATCTCTGCCTAGGGAAGCTCTCAGACTGGTGGAAAGACAGCCACGGAAGTGGATAATTGCTGTGCACAGAGGCCTGTGATCATGTCTCGAGAGCTCTGCCAGATGATGTGAGCACAAAGCGGGGAGGCAGTGGGCTTCTGTGGGGGGGTCAGCCCAAGCTTTGCACAGGGTCTGTTTATTAAGATGGGTGGGATTTGGATTGGGGGTGGGAGTGGGGCTCTTCTGGCAGAGGGCCCAGCAGGGGCAAAGGCGTGGAGGGGGAAGGCTGGGTAATGTGGTGTGCTTGGAGCACGGCAGTGTGAGGAGGGGCCGGGGGAGGGCATGCCAGACAGGTAGGTGTGAGTGGAGGGAAGCAAGAGAAACATTCCTTAAATGGCAGGTCTTGCTTCTCTTCCCATCCTCAGGGCCTGCTTGGGAAGCCTGTTTGTATAATAACTCTGCTATTTTACATAAATAAATAAAATAAATCATTGCTTCCATTCCCTCAGGGGGCAAAAACTGGGCAGAGACAAGTTTGCTCAGTGCAAGTCTCTGCCAGACTCAGCTTCCTCCTTCTCCTCCTCCCGTGCAGGCGGCCCCCCTTCCCCAGAACCCAGGGAGAGGCATTTGGAAAAAGCCAGCCTGGTCCCTGTGACTGAATCACTGGGCTCCTGGGAGGAGCCGGAGCGTCAACCGAGGGTGAGAGGATGGTGAAAGTCTCCCCCCTCACCGGGCTCTGGGGGAGGCCCAGCCAGAGGCCCTGGGGACATTTGCCTGCTCTGCCTGCTCCAGGGAGAACCTGTCTATGCCAGTGGGGGAGGGAGGTGGCAAGGGACAGGCTGCTCCTTTCAGGAGGGCCCTCCTACAGTCGTGGCTTAAAGAGGGAACCACTTGGCTTTCTAGGGAGGGAGGGGCCCATCACAGAGAGTATGCAAGCCTGTGCAGGCCGCTGTGCTGGGGAACCACCACTAGGAGCTGTACAGGAGGAAGGGAGGTTGGACGGAATGGCTCCAGGCCTTTCCTGGTGCTCACAGTTGATGACTTTAATAGTCTGAAATCCAGGGATAGTTCTAAGATCCCTGTGGATTGCACTAGGATTCCATGGTTGTATGAGTCTCAGGTGAGGTGACTCTAAGACTCTGGTTTAGAGTTTGCAGCTGGAGATTTTTGAGTTCTGTGATGCTAAGCTCTGCTCTCTAGGCAAGGCCAGGTTACTCCGTGACTCCTGCACCCAAGCGCATAGCCCTGACTTGGAAAGAGAGGTCCTTTCTGTGCCAAGAAGACCCAAGGCCCCTGGGCAGAGTCCTGAGCCTGGCTCCTGTCCAGCCTTTAGCCCCAAACTCGTCTCAAACATGCAAGTCTGTCCCCTGAGGGCCTTAACCGAGGGTGCGGCTCAGCAGACCTATCCTGCCACCCACCAGCCTCGCACCCTTGCCTGTAAAATGGGCACCTGGTACTTACCTGCGGAGCTGGAGAGATGCTTCAATGAGACAATGTGTGTGGAGGCTCTGTGCATGTTATAATTGTAGCTGCGATGAGGTTGTCTCCTTGAAAGAAAGGTCCACGTCTGATTCTCTGTGACTCTCTCAGCTCCCAGCAGTGCCTGGCACGTAGTGGAGGCCTCTTAAACAGTTACTGAAAGAGCTCCAGAGCCTTAGATATGGGACAGATGGTACCGGAGGCCACAGTGTGGAAGCCAGCCCTTCCCGAGGGAGAGGCAGGGAGCACCTCCTATGGGAGGGCAGCCGGGAAGGGCAGAAGAACTGGTAAAGCAAGCCTGCGGTGATGCCGTCCGCCTTGGCCTGCTCTTGGGAGGAAGGACAATCAGAGGTCTCTTGGGACAGAAGTGTTGGGTAAACAGGAGGCCCTGGCATCTCCGTGGAAAGAGATTAATAATGACCCTAATTATGGCATGATTGATTCTTCGAGGGCTCCTGCTGAGCCCCAGCCTCAGCTACTGAGTAGCTTTTCCCCAAAGAATGAGCGGGCGTGACAGGGGGACAGGGGATGCTGGCCCACCTGGTCTTTTGATCTCCAACGCCTGCCTCCCGGCACCTCCTCCCCCAGCCTCTCCCCACTGGCAGCTGCCTCAGCGACAGACTTCCTTCCTGCCCTACCTCTGCCTACCTATGCTGATTTCATTAGAATCTAGGGCTTTCTCGGAGTCCCAGAGAAGTGGAGAGACTTACCCAGGGTCACACAGTGGGATGGTGGCAGCCCAGATCTCTCAATTCAAGCCATCTGATGAGGCCCGTGCCACAGGAAATGTGGTGAATCTGTGAGCATCCTCAAAAGCTAAGTGCAAAGGCTGTGCTGGAGGGTGGCGGGGCGGGGCCTGGGGTTAGTTAGTTCCTGGAGTGGGAAGTCCCATTATCAGCCCTGTCTCCCCACCTCTAGCCCCAGCCCTGGGGCCAGGGATTGGTTTTGTGGGTCTGGGTTTGGTTGGCTTTTCGGGGAAGCAGCCCAGCTGGTGAGCTGCCCGGGGATGCCCTGCCGCCCCTGGACCCCCAGAAGGCAGGCAGGCTCCTGAAGGCAGCAGACCCCACCCCCACCGTCACCACCAGATAGAATCTGTGCGGGGCTCAACCTGCTGGACAGAGCCCTCAGCCCTGGGAGAGCCCCTGTTCACCCCTCTTGCCACCAGGCTTTCCTTGTGCTGTCCCCTTTCCCAGAGCCCCCTTCTCTCTCCCTTTTGTGCTACAAATCCTCCCTTACTTCTGAGTTCCGCCTAGATCCCGCCCTCTCTGGAAGCCGCCATGCAGTGGTCAGTGCTGGGACCTCAGGAAGCGCAAGGGCTCTGGGGCGCAGAGGAGACCCTGACCCAGGTGGGAGCGTTTGCTGGAGGAGGGGCTACTGAGCGGAGACAGTGGGAGCTTTCCAGGCCTTAAGGAGGGGCAGAGGGCCCTAGCTAAGGTGGTTCACAGGCACACCAGCACTGGGAGCAGGGCGTGGGCAAGGCAGTGAGGAAGAACCACAGGGAGCCCTGGTCTCGCTCCACAGCCATGTTGCCCGAGCACTGTGGGGAGGAGTCGCCAGGGCCCTGGGCCTTTTACACTTTGGGTTTTGCTGTAAGTCTGGGGTCATCACTGAGTTGTCCAGGCCGTGACTCCCTCTACATTGGTCCCTGTCAGAGATGGTGGAGGCCCATGGGACTCAGGCGACCCGGCCGCTCATCTGTCGCAGGCCTTCTGGCAGGTTTCATCCTGGTTTGGCTGCTCCGGTCAGTGGCAGGCTCAGGGGTCCCGGCCGTTTGTCCTGGGAGTGGAGGGACTCTTCCCTTCGGACCACGCAAGGACTGTGGGACTCCTCCTTCTGTCCTCCCTCAGCAGCCCCATCTCTGCTGTCCTCCTGGGGATGAGGAGAGAGCAGGTGGTTAAAGGGTTTTAGAAGATGAGTGCTAGAATGGCCCTTGGAGAGCAGCCAGTGGTGTTCAAACCCTCCCACGGTACAGACGGGAAAGCGGAGACCGGAGGCCTGTGGAGGTCCCCCACCTGCTGGGTGCTGGGCTCGGGTGGAGGCCCCGGGGAGGGTAGCCCTGGCCGGGGAGAAGGGGAGTATTTCCTCCTCCGCATGCGTGCTCTGCCTCCTTCCCTGGGGCCCTGGCAGGCTGCTGGAGAAGGTCAGGTCTCTGCCTCCCCCAGCCCCACACCCATCGGGGGCTTCCCTTTTCCTCCCCAGGATCCTGGCCCCACTACTTGCTCCTGCACCCCTGGTGCCAACCAAAATATTGAGCATGGCCCTTTGAGATGCAGTTTGCGGTGACACAGATGC